GCTTTCATGATCCCATTACTACATAAGTGGCTGTTATGCATATGAAGTGCTAACATGGTATATAGAGCCAGGAAGACAGGCTTGAAACAAACATTTTTTAAAAAAAGGATAAACAAGATGATGGAAGTTTTCCTTAAATCCTGGTGAGAAAGATTAAATAAAGACTAGAATCAGTATTTATTTTTGTTTATTTATTTAAATAATTCATATGGTCCCCCATTTCACAATAATTACTCTAGATAGTGTACCAAGATTGAAACTCAAAAGTGAAAAACAATAACCTATGATACCCAAGATAAATCATATCTTCCAAACATAAAATGACAACAACAGAGTTTGTCTAATCTCCTGGACTGAATACCTGGAAAACACTGTAGAAGACTGCCCGGCTGGCTTAGGGGGAGTAGGAAGATTCTAGTGATACTGAGATAAAAAGAAATTATTTATGAAGAGACCAAGGAAGGTGAGGGAAGATATGGATAGCGATTATGTCTCTAAGTATATCTAAGTCTTCTATTTCTCAACAAGGATTCATAAAATACTTATTTTTGTTCCAATCTTAAGCAAACTCCATTATAGCTTAATATGACATAAAGCAAGCCATCTTTGTAAATCATGGTTCATAGTTTACTGTGTAATAGGTCATCTATATAGATTGCAATATTAAATTAATAGAGGAAAAGGAATATAATTGTATAATATAGTAATAGTAAACTATAGTATACTATAGTACAGGGGTGTCAAACAGCCGGCCCGTGGGCCGGATGCATCATCCAGAAGCCCTGCCCACCCCATTGCCAGCAATGGCAAAACCATCCCAATACGTTGTGCGACGTCACATGACATCGCGAGTTTGACATGTCTGCTATAGTATATAGTAATAGTATAGATATGGCATCCAGAGGTTTGGGGCTAAGACTCTTTTAATTCCCCCTCCTTGGTAATGCTGGATATTGTAAGCACACAATTATCACCACATTCTGTGATTACATTTGGGCTATAAGCATACTCCACTGTTCTTGGTCTTACAGCTACCAAATACGTGCATTTTGATCTAGTCACATCCATAGAAATGGCAGAGAATAGATATTTTAAATCATAATTGAAATCCTCTGAACAACTCAGAATTGATTTCTCTTTGTCTTCCTGTTTTGTGCATATGACTTTGTGGGGTCCTGGATGCTTTCTGAGCTTGGTGATTCTCTTGCAGACATTTCATTACTAAACTAGATAGCATCATCAATGTTAGAAGAGAGTAGAGTTATTATCATCTCATCCCATCTTATTTTTATATACTAGTGGTTTGCTTTGTCAGTGTTAGTGAGAATGTTCTTGGTGGTTCCTTGATTAGGCTGTTGTTTGCTATTAACTTGTTTGTCTGTGTTGATAGTTACTTGATTGGTGTATGTTCACATGATTACTGGTCTAGTTTAATCTTGGTATTAATGGCTGCTCATTTGGGTATTAATTGAGACTTTGTGTAACATTTTAACCATTATTGCTTTGCTCAACACAATTACACAGGACAGAAGTAAGAAAAAGAGTGAAATCTAATTTCAAGAGTGGCTAAATTAATCTCAGTACATTTACTTCTTTATGGCACAAAATGGTCAGCAAATAAAATGAATTAATGCTAAGTGAGCTACTTTGAGAAAACTTTTAATCTGTCTATTGTTTAATTCTGAACAAATCAAAAGGCTGAATGAAGAGATGCATGAAAAGAGCAAATCACTGTAGCATGTCTTGCAACTGTCCATTAGTCTGCAACACATATGTAAAATAGATCCTGCAAATGAAGTTTTTAAATGTCAGTGTTTTAGTCAGGAGTTAGTGTTTCATTTACATTATTTTGCATACTTAAGCTTATAACTCAAATAACTGATAATTCATAAATATGTACATGCTTTCCACATGACTAAAAACGTTTATTTTACTTCCAGATTAAAGTTTTAAAAAGTTGGGTGTGTTTCAGAAAATGAAAGCAATTTTCAGTTAAACAAGTACAGTTGTAATTATTTGTATAAAAATACTTAAGGCAAAGGTTTTGTATTATTAAAAAAAGTATTTCTCTTGGGATATTAACATTTCTAGTGATGCTCAGTTCATAAGCTCCTATTTTAAAAATGATCCCTGTTCTAAACATTGAGTACCAGACAAAAGAATAGGTATCCATTATTTCAAATTAATCTTTGCCCAGAGAATATAATGTATGTTCCTTATCATTCAAGCACAGATCCAGATTTTTCATTTCTCCTGTCATTCACTTTTGCATATCTGGTTCCTTTGGTAGATAAACTCCTTAATTATCTCTCCCTATAATGTGTGTGTGTGTGTGTGTGTGTGTGTGTGTGTGTGTGTATGTATGATGTATGTATGTAAATATATATATATATACACACACACATAGGGTTTAATTTGAATGAGGAAGAGGTTTACTTTCACCTATCTAGTTAAAGTGTGGATCAAACCCTATCTAAGATAACTAGCATCAAATACTTGATGGGGTAGGACTTTAATGCACCTATTGTGTTTCTGATTATAAAATAGCAAGGAAATTATGCCTTTATATTTTAACTATGGATCGGTATTGCATACAAAGTTATTTCAAACAGTGTAAATAAATAAATCAGTCTAATGATTTCTGTGATGGTTTTTCATATGTTTATAGTGTTTATTATTCATTGTTCAGAATTATGACATAAAATGAGCAGCTTTAAATCAACTAATCAATTACTGATAAAGAGATCTTAATCACAATTAATTTTTTCCATTTTATGTTAGATAGTTTAAGTTGCATTTCAGAAGTGACTTATTGACACTGGAGAGTTTCAAGTGTGTCTGTTATACAAAACATGTAGTTTAAAAATAATATTACTAATTAAGAATGCAAACACCTAAATATAACAATATTTTCAATTTTTTTAAAAATTGACATTAAGTTCACATTATCTCATATGTGTGATTTGTTTGTTTTTTAATAAAGGTGGGAGTCAACAAAATAATCTCTCTATTTTCTTTTTCTAAAAGTTGGCCTCGAAGGGCTGTCTAATACTTAAGGGCTAAGGCTAAGATGCTCTTACAACACACAAGGAACTGTTTGCTTTTATTCTGCTGACGTCTATTTTCCTTTCTTTCATTGTGAAAGGAAATGTGTGTTTTGCTAAAAATAGAACATACAGCCTAACAACTAGCTACTGATTGGTCAAAGGCAAAATCTGCCTAGCCTATGAGAGTAACTGAGAACAAAAACAATTCAGCCTGCATATGTGTGAAGCACTTTATATACATCAAGCTGCCTAAATATAAAACCAATATATAGAATCATCAGACACAACCACATAGGTGTTTCCCTGTGAATGGCTGAACCCTTCAGCATGGCAGAAAAGAGAAGGAAATAATTTTTGATTTTATAAAATACATAAATTGGCAAGGCCTTTGTAAAACTTATTGGCACTTTTCAGAAATGTTTGCAATTATTTCTTAGATAGTATCATGAACTCCATTTTTTCTTACATAAATTGACATGGCATTAAAATATGTCCAGGAACAACAATAATAATGCAAAATAATAATTTCATTAACAAATGTGGATTTTGTAAGGAAAAGTCTGCAAGGAAAAGAACTAAGTGCCAGCTATGTTACTGCTATGCCTCCACTAGAGGCCACTATTACATGGGACAATTCATTTTATTTGGCTGCAGGAAAGAGAAATTCTAGGGACTTGACCATTGGTCAATACTTTGTGTGTGTTCTTGAATTCATTAGGGAAAAGAACTAAGATGTAGTTCTTATGCTCGTGAAAGTCCAACTGAATTGCTGCCAACCACAGATATAACTATTGGGATACAACAAAGAGGATAAATTGTTACACATGCAAACCAATCTTAGCAGTTAGGGAGTGCTACAACTTTATCAAGTCAATTCAGCACTCCAACGTGTCATTATTTTGGATAATATACTTTGCAAATTTCCCAAGGCTGGCTAAGTAGGGCAGGAGAAAGCAATTATTTTTTTAAGAATGAAGATGTTTTGTTCTGTTTCACTTAGCCATCCCCAAGGACAGTCAAAACACTGAAGATCTATGACACTGTACTACTGACAGTACTAAATAACCCAAGGGCTTCTTTAATTGGATCACATTAAGGAAACATGATGCCTCCCTGCTTTGCCGAATACACTCGCTAATCAAAATGCAGATTGTTAAGTGCACATGAGATATCCCAGTTTAGGGAAGACCATGCAGTTCCTAGTGCTGGAACAGGCCACCCAAGGCCTCCCCTGATTCACTGAGATACTTCATGCTCACTTACAATCCCTTGTGGTCCCCATAGTTGCTTCTCCCCCCATATCATGCCCTGGGTTTGAGGCACTGAGCCTACTTTGTTAGCCTCCCGGATTCCACTTGCTCCTCCCCATTCCATTTCCCATCGCTTATTTACTTTTCGAAGATCTCCAGAGTTCCAGAAGAGACTGACCCACGAGGCAGAAAAGCTGAAGTCTTTTATTCAGATGCGGTGAATGTGAGATCTAAGGAAAACAGCTTCACCAACATCTGAATAAAAGACTTTGGCTTTTCTTCCATGAGGCCAGTGTCCCTGCTAAATTCATTTGGGCCCATCCTGAGCAGCATGAGAAGCCTCCTGCTTGCTGCTGGTTGGCTGCCTTGAATGAGTATCTTCAGGGATTGGGCCATGGCAGCCAATCAATGTAGAGCTACCATGTTTCCCAAAAGACCCGGTCTTACTTTTTTTTCCTCCAAAAGAGGCACCAGGTCTTATTTTGGGGGGCAAGTCTTTTCCACTCACCTCACGGTCACAGCACTGACAGCCCCCTGCAGGCGGCCCACTTCTTCTGCAGCTGAAGCTGCAGCTTCATTCTGCAGCTGAGAATGGAGCTCAGGCCTGCATTTCACAGTCAGATGCCTTTCCTGAAAGCCTGTGCAGCTGAGAACCAAGCTATTGATTCAATCCATATTTTGGTTCTTGGGTACACAGGCCTACTGGAAAAGCCTCTGGTGGTGAAATGCAGGCCCGAATTCCAGTCTCAGCTGCAGAAGAAGTGGGATGGCTGGGGGGTGGGCTGTTGTTGCTGCCACCGTGAGTTGAGTGGAAAAGATCCATTCAGACCTGCATTTTGCCATCAGAGGCCTTTCCAGAAGGCCTGTGCAGCCAAGAACTGAGCTACAGATTGAATCCATAGCTCGGTTCTCAGCTGCACAGGCCTTCAGGAAAGGCATCTGATTGTGAAATGCAGGCCTGAGCTTTATTTTAACTGCAGAATGAAGCTGCTCCTTCGGCCAAAGAGGAAGTGGGCCGGTGAGGCAAGTGTCAATCCATGGGAGGCCTGGTTGCAATGGTAAGCTCCACACCCACCCTAGCTTGATTTTTAGGCATGTGTCTTGCCCCAAAACTAGGGCTTATTTTGGAGTAGGGCTTATATTAGGCCCACCCCCCAAAAATCAACCTAGGGCTTATTTTTGGGGTAGGCTTTACTTTCAGGGAAATATGGTAGCAGTTCAGCCTGATGAAACAAAGGAAACAAACTTCGTGTTGATTAGTTGCCATGCCCCAATCCCAGAAGACAGCTAGCAAAGCAGGTCCAGTGCCTGTGGAGACCCAGAGGGGCAAAATGGGGGGTGGTGGTCATAAGGGCAAACAACCACTGTGGTGCTGCAACATACATAACTTTGGGACTGGATTGTAAGTACTTTTGGGGGGGGGGTCATAATTTTGAACGGTCACTGATTGAACTGTTGTAACTTGAGGAATACCTGTAATTCATGGATAAAAATTAGCTAAAGATGAATTTGAGGAAGGTGGGTAAAGAATCAAAGCTATACCCAACTATATGCATCACATTCACTTTTCCAGCCTCTATCCTTAGCTGTTCCCATTAACCAGGCAAACTTTGCTATTAGTCAATCAGAAGTCAGCTGATAAAAAGTTTCAGTTTAAAATACTCAAACTTGAGGTGGAGCTTCTGCATGCTCAGAAATTGCTACCCAAAGTTTATTCTATATTCTAGCAGTATAATTTCTCATTGTTATTTTTCTAAATTTGAGGATTTTTTTATCAGAATGGTAAACTAACAGTTCAAGAAAAGCCAATTTTTTAAAAAAATGTTTCTCTGTTACTTGCAGGGCATAATTTAAAAGATGGGTGCATGCCTTTCATTTGGTTGAGAACCATGCCAAATTTTACCTGCGATCAGGATCATTTATGAATTTTCTGACTTGGTTTCTAACTTGCTTTAACCTTTCTTCTTTTGTGTACTTCAAGTATCAACAGTCAGTGCTATGACTGTAATATGCTAAGTTCAGATGAAGCTGGCAGCAATCTTTAGTTAAACTGGTTTTATTACAAGTACAAGATCACTATCTGCTATAAACAAGTCTGGCTTTCTCCTGGTTCTGTTATTTTAGGAACTGTTAGAACTGTTTCTCTTTTGCAATACAAACCATCCCTTCTTAAAGGTAATTTATTTCTTATCTCAGTGTACAACACCTGGTTGATATAGCTTAAAGTATTATATAAATTGTATATATAATGCAATTTAGCATATACCCATTGTATTAATTTATCTTAATGCATAAAATTAGTAGGACATAAATGTAGTTTATAAAATTTAGTGACTCAATGTAACTCTCTGAAATATTTTTCTAGTGTAGCAGTAAATATTTTTTCTCAGAAATAGAAAAGCAGAAAAGGCAGAGTAATTTTTTTCTCACATTCTATGCTATTGCATGAAAATATTTAGAGTATGATGATCAAGCATTCTGGATTAAATATTTTATCTCTGGTCCATTAAAATATCAATGTTTTCTTCTTGCTTTATAAATTGGGCTTTTGGTATTATATAACTGAACTCATGAGCAAAACAAGACTAACATATTGATGCATTGTTGAATAGAGAAATCAGTAAGGCTTTTTTGTTTTTAAGTAAAAATATTAAGTAGAAGTGTTCTTTGTTCAATGGAGACAGATCCTCTCATGGACCATTATCTTTAGGTATACCTAAAGAACTTAAACATATAATCAAGGCAAATTAATCTGATAATTAAATTCTGAAAATGTGAAGACTTTCTAGGAATGAAATTTCTAGGAGATAATAGTTTTATACTGCCAATGTATTGTGAAATTAGTTTGAGCTGACATTTCCTCAACTCCATATTTTTTAGGCAGAGAACACCTACTACTACTACTACTACTACTACTACTACTACTACTACTACTACCAATGCCTATTACTATTATTTCTTATTGGAGTGTTGTTACTTTAATGAGTTTTTAATTTTGAATGTTAAGATTTTAAGTAGAACTTTGTTATTTCATTCTCTATACATTCTCTGTTCTTTGACCAAATCAGATATATACACAACAATACATTCAAATGGTAGTATATTAAATGTATTTCAATATACATATGATAGTATATTGAATGTATTGAAATAAGTAGATAAAATTACTACATTTTCTACTGCTCCTATTCCAGAGTATACTAGTAACAGGCACTTAATACAGATTTTCCCCCTCACTGTTGGAAATGCAGCCTCAAATTGGAAGGTAAAATTGAATATTGCATTATTCCTTCCTCTTCCAGGCCATTCCCAGAGACTGGTTCTTATATGACAGGACAAGTAGGATGTCAGAAATAATCAAAAATTATGTATACGGATTTTGTGCTTTCTTTCCAAAAATAGTTTATTGTACACAGTACTTCCTGGATTTGTGACCTGGACTATGCTAAGGTGTTATAATTATTTCTTATATTACTCATCTTGAAATTAACAAATAGATCCAATCCATCTATTTTGTTTGAAAAATGTTCACATATCTATCTATCTATCTATCTATCTATCTATCTATCTATCTATCTATCTATCTATCTATCCCACCCACCCACCCACCCACACACACACACACACCTACCTACCTACCTACCTTTCTCTCCATTTCTCATTAAACAAGCTCCCAACAAATAGCTCAAGGAAAAAGCACTAGGACAAATTTTGAAGTGACCCTAGCTATTCTCTGGGGTCCCTATATGTGTCAAGGGACATAAAATTTCTAACATACAAATTTATTTCAGTAGCTCATATAACCTCATGCCATTGTAACTCTATATATTTTTGTTATTTCTGATCTGAAGTTATTGAGATGTACTGCTTTGAATATTTTCTGCTCTGATTGTGTCTGTGAGCCTACAGATGTAGTTTTTTGTTGTTTTTCAGAAATATCCTTCTATATCTGAGTGTTCACAATATGTTTTGCTCCTATCCACAGCAGTTCAAATATTGATTTAATCTTTCTACCTTGTAATTTCACTTTTATTATTTTTTCCTATAATCTTGTTTTACTTAAAGTTTTAATTAGCTAGCTGTCTCTAAAACAATTGTCTAATTAAGTGTTTTTCATTTGAATCTATATAGTGCCAATTATAACAGAGGCCTTGAAAAAAGAATTCTCCTCTGATGAATACGAGGAAATAGAAATATTAAAATTAATGTACTAGAAAGAGGAAAAGATTTTGAGTGAAAATCTGATTCCTGAAAATAAGATAAAAATATGAAGAAATAATTTGTTCTGCTTGCAGTCTTTTCCTTAAACTAATATATAGGCAAATAACAAAGATCAATGTTTTTATATAGCAAATGCAATATATGCATCTGTACACATGTATGTCCAGCTTACAAGTTTCTCATTTATGTTTAATCAGTTAAAACAGAGAATCCAGCAATTTTACCAGGAGTTATTTATGTATACTGCACTTAAGAAACTACATTCCCTGCTGCTAATCTTTTTCCTCTTATGAAGGGGCTTTTAGAATTACCATCATAAATACATAAGCACTGGAAACTTATATAAAAGTGTAGGGAATATTGCAATTGGTGTGCTAAAAGCTGTGTTCATTCAAGATTACTTCAATTATTTCAATCAACACTGGTTACTTTTCAAAACCCATATTTCCTCAAGGTGGCTTTCAATATAAAAACATTAAAACAACAAATTAAAAATGCACATTACATTAAAACATTTTTTTAAAAAAAACAATATCAGCAAAATTAAACAGTAGCACTATCGTACTTTTAACTCAGAAAGAACAATGGTGCTTTATAGCCATCTTAAAGAAAATCATAGCAGTGGTCTGCCATATTTATCTCTTGTCTATTCAAGAATGGAACAGCAACAAAAAAACTAAGTACAGTGCTATAACAGACAATCAAAAGATCCCTTTGGTTGTGCTTATAGACACATTTGGAATTTTGAGAACATGTTATAGGCACCCTTACAAAATGGTGGAAAGAATAAATTTAATCCATTCAGAAGGAGCTATCAAGGACATCATAGCCATTTCTACTTATAGCAGATGCTTATTTTTGGTGGCTCCTTAATATTCTAATTTATTTGTCCTTTTTCTGAGCAGATAAGGATTCTTCCAAAAAAACCTGAGCCATACAATTTGATTTATTATCATACATTTTATAAATTTATTGGAGACATAGGGGCACTTTTAAAAATAAAGATGGAGATGGATACTGATGCTTTTTTTAAAAAAAATGTTAAAAGTCAGATGAGAAAGTGACCCTGGCAGGACCTGCTAAGGTAGTGTCTGTAAGCAGATTGATACTTAAAATATACTGACCATATTTCATATTCACAATACCTTGTGGTAAGATGGCCAGCAAACAAATTTTATAATAAATATTTGTATCATGTCTTCTCACAATAGTAGGCATTTAAGCAGACAGAAGATTTGGCATGATATTTCCTGTTCAATCCCCTGTAAGAAAAATCAGATATTTTTTTCCTTCTTTCTGATAAGGTGAGCATTTGTTCTGAACTTTAGAGGAGAGCCTTTGTGAATAATGGTGCCTATTTATCTATTTGTATTTGCATGCTTTCAAACTGCTAGGTTGGCAGGAGCTAGATGGGAAGGTAACAGCCCTACATGATGTCATGTTGATCACATGACGATGGAAATATCTTTGGACAGCACTGGCTCAATGGCCTTGAAACGAAATGAGTACTGCCCCCTAGAGTCAAGAATGACTAGCGGAGTAAAATTTGCAGCGACTTCTTCACCTTTTATTCATGAACAATATTAATGGTGAGTGTTGTGTATTGAACCAATTTCTAATGGCAGTTATAAGCTGTTAACTGAATATGTTTAAATCAAGTCTCTAACTGTGTATTGTTACAAGCCTGCACATTAGGTGGCAAATAGTGCTTTAAATTCATTGGTTGCCGCCTAGTGGCAGTCCAGTATAAATAGAAGCCAAGCGGCTGTTAGATTGCTTCTGTGTTTATTCAATAAAGAGCTGTTGCCTAACCTTCAGTGTGATCACTGCCTCACCAATCCCAGTATTTAACAGCAAGCATTTGTTCTTTCTCGGGGTAGAGAAAAAAATTGGGTGAGTTTACATTTTTATGCAATCTGCCTAATACATACATCTTAAACTACAATACAAATTAAAATGCAAAGATTACCCTTTAGTTGTACTTTTGTAATAGTGTTTTTACAAATATCCTGAGTAGATGTACAAAAAAGTTAATAGCATTTATGAAATCAGCCCAAATAAATTAAATTATAAAATGGGAGCATGTTGATTATCATCTCTATATTTTCTGGAGGAAACTTTTTTTAAGCCTTAATCTACCATTTATTTTTGATTTTGGTAACTTGTCAAATTTTTTCAACTTACTGTTGAAAGTCCTTTTATTTGGACTTTGGACTTTGGATCATGACCAAGGTTTTTGTCATTTTTTTTTTTTTACTTTTTATCCTGTTTTACCATAAATATGGTTGCACGACCTTTAATTTCTTCATTCAGTCTCATTGTAATGATATTCACTCAGTGGTATACTACAGTTACAAGCTGGATGTTATTTATTATAGAATAGAGCTGGAAGGGACCTTGGAGGTCTCCTAGTCCAACTCCCCACTTAAGCTGCAGAACCTATACCATCTCAGACAAGTGTCTGTCTAGCCTCTTCTTAAAAAATCTCTAGTGATGGAGCTCCCACAATTTCTGGAGGCAAGCTGTTCCACTGGTTAATTGTCCTCACTGTCAGAAAGTTTCTCCTTTCTAGGTTGTGTCTCTCTTTGTTCAGTTTCCAACCATTGTCTCTTGTCCTGTCCTCTGGTGCTTTAGTGAATAATGTGACCTCCCCTCTGCCTTGTGGCAGCCCCTCAGATACTGAAACACTGCTATCATGTCTCACCTATTTCTTCTTTTCTTAGTCAAACCCAAGTCGCGTAGCCGTTCTTTGTATGTTTTAGTCTCCAGGCCTTTGATTATCTTAGTTGCTCTTCTCTGAATTTTTTCCAAACTCTCAACATCTTTTTTGTGATATAATGACTAAAATTGGTTGCAATATTCCAGGTGTGGTCTTACTAGGATTTTATAAACCTGTACTAATACTCCGTGTGATCTTGATTCTATGCCTCTGTTTATACAACCCAGGATTGTATTAGCTTTTTGGGCTGCTGCAGCACACTGCTGGCTCATTGTCAATCCTAAAGAGGAAAACAACTCAAGAAGCATGGGAAACTTGTTATAACTAGTAGCCAGCATGGGTTTATCAAAAACAGATCATGCCAAATCAACCTTATTTCATTCTTCAATAAGGTGACTAAACTAATAGACCAGTGAAATTCTGTGGACATAGTATACTTGGACTTTAGTAAGGCATTTGATAAGGTAGACCACAACCTAGTCCTTGGTAAGCTCGAAAAAGGTGGAATAGACAACATCACCACCAGATGGATCTGTAGCTGGCTGGCAAACTGTACTCAACGAGTAGTCCTCAATGGCACTACATCTACATGTAAAGAAGTAAGCAGTGGGTACCACAAGGTTCCCAGTATTCTTCAATATCTTCATAAATGACTTAGATGAGGGAACTGAAGAGGAACTCATCAAATTTGCAGATGACACCAAACTGGTAGGAGTAGCCAACACTCCAGAAGGCAAACTCAGGATCCAAAAAGATCTTGACAAACGTGAACAATGGGCCCGGTCCAACAAAATGAGTTTCAATGTGGAGAAAAGCAAAGTTTACATTTAGGCAGGAAAAATCAAAGGTACAAGTACAGACTGGGCTAGACCTTATACAAGAATCACAGACCTAAAATATAGGTGACATACAAGAAAATCATGGTAACCAATTAATATGTTTATTGAGGAATTCTGGGATGGTCAGTAATCAGTCAGGATTTTAAAAGATTATATAGGGCACAAAATTTCTTTGTGCAAAATATTAACCACAGAAACCAAAATATCATAAAACTAACAGCACTGGTAAATCATACACTGAATTCTTCATTTCCATTTTAATAGTATAGAGTTTTTTCCTTAGTCCTGATTAATCTGCCATCATTATTAGATGTTAACAAACAAAGCTTGCCAAAATATAATTTGAAACTCATTACTGATCACTACCCTTATCTCCTCTAAAAATAAAAGGTATCATTTCCACAGACGAAGACAAGTTTTTTTTGATGAAGATGATGGCTGGCTATAGTACAACTATTGATATTTCTAAATGATTAAATCTGACCTCGCTGTTGTCTGCCACACCAAGAGCTCATTTTACATGAATCAACTTGGTTTTGCCAACTGCCTTTATTTAACCCACAGAGCTTGCAGGTTTTAAATGAAAGATGCCATAAGCTTCAAGGATGCATTAGTGCATGACAAAGAAGAGGATGAAGATAAAAAATAGCATATAGCTTTGATTTAAACCTGGAATCACCCAGATACTTGAGAAACGTTGCTATAAATAAAAGAAATGAAAACTTAAGTTTATTTCATTCAGTTTCTTAGCCACATCTAAGAGAGAGAAATACATGCATTTAATGTTAAATAAAGTTAAAAGAAATGGTATAATGAGTGATAATAAATAGAATGAAAATAGAAAGATTGCAGAAGAGACATATGGACCATGTATGAAAAACTATTAGAAAAGATTACTCTTCTAACAAAATAAATGGTAAGCATATAAGCACAGAGAACAGGAAAAGATGCTGAGAAAGACATTCAGAACAGCGGGGAAAAAATTATTTGTGAAATCCATTTCAAGGAAGTATAGAAGATGGGGAGAGTTGCAAACTGGATTTTTGTTTTGCAGACATTGAGAAATTTCTGAATGTTTATTGGATGCTGATTTGAAGAAATAATAAAATAAAGTTAATAGGCTTGAATTATGGAATATTTTGCATGAATATAGAGATTGGATGCTGAATGTACTAAAAGTGACGTGATAGAAGAAAAGCATGCATGGGATTAAATGGAAGCTTAGCAAGTAATTCAAAATTGAGAAGTAGCATAAAGATGTTTGCTGTCTTGGTTGATTAATGTATCTATGATTAATGTATAAGGAATTATTGTGGTAATTTGAAAGGTTGATAGGGAACATAAATGTGAAAGTCTTTCTATATAGATGTTTCTGGCTGAAAATCTGAATAATTTACAGTGAATATTGTATAGTTATATGATGCCACTGTCAGTATGGATCTTAAAATTAATGTATCTATTTATTTTATTTATTTAAATGTATTTCTTGTTCAAATCCAGTGACTAAAGTCATTGTGATTAGCAAGCAAAATGAAACAGATTTGTATATACAGATGAGAAAAAATACAGAAAAGATGTAACGTTGTCTCTCTTTATAGATTGCCTACTATAGGTGAAAAAATGCTGATAGGAAGGAGAACCTGATATTCCTCCATCTTTCTAAGATGATGCTGAATGACATTTGTTTGTATTCAATGTTTAGTGTTGTATTTTAGAAATCTTGCAATAGTTCTCATTCAAAATTGTGAAAAATATTTGCTTATGAAATTCTCATGGTTGCAAAAACTGTACTCTGGCATTTACAATGGCACATATGCCTTTCCTCTGGGACCATCAGCCATACACACCACTCACCACTTCCTGAGTGCAGGATTGGACAACTCTGTCCTCCTCCCATTCTCAGCCTATCACAAATGCACTCTTTGCCTGTGTTTTCCAGCTTTGATCCAAAGTTTCTGTTGGTTGCTGATTTCCATTCTGTCTTAGGTCCTTCTGATTAGATGGTCTGAAATGCTTCCTTTTCGTTTAATGACAGCCCCAGTTCCAATTGGTTGCAATACCTAGGAGTCATCCAGAGTTGCTGGGTTCCCATATTCTGCAATGGTTGGCAGCAGCTATCTTTAAAAGGAGCTGATCTAGTAATAGCCATGAACTCAATGACTTTCTCCACCCCATGCTTTCCCATCCCCTCTAGAAGTTCTTCACTCAATTAAACCCTTCCTTCTTTTTCAGTTTCTGCCCAACCTGGGTGATGTACCAAACAAGAACAGCTCAAGGATGGACATCCATGGAGAATTTACAACAGTGCTTCTCAAACTTGGCAACTTTAGATGTTTCTGGGAGATGATGTCCATACATTTTAAAGTTGTCAGGTTTGCACTAGAGTAATAGGACCTTTACTATGTTGGGAAGCTGTATAAAACAAAACACCAGCAGTATTACCATCTGTCACCTCCCATAATCAAATAAGCCTAAAAACACCACTAAGAAAATTCAGGAACAATTATTTTTCAATAAATTATACTTTGTTTTTTATAATTTAGGAATAGTTCTGAAGCATATCAAGAATAAGGTAGAAAAAATCTTTTTCATAAATACAGAATACTTTTGAGAAGTTTTGATGGAGGTTTTGGCACATTAACCTGAAAAAAATAAAGTATTCTAACATACTATTATTCTTTTAGTCTTCCATAGGGAAAAAATCTCCAGTATATCCATAAAGCACAAACCCTGGGGCAACAGATAATAATTATAACTAGTTTTTGTCATATATCCAATCCAGAAACATTCAGATTTTAAAAACATATGCCCACACTCGTACAAAGTTTTTGCATCATTTGGGGTTTTTTAGCCAAATATTATTTTATAATATGGTTAAAGTCCATATTATCCATCTTTTCTTCCAATTATATGATTAAATCACATACAAGAATAAAATTATATTAGATATAATGCTTTCATTAGATCTTACATGAGTGCTTTTCTTCAAAAATAGTTCTTTCATGAAGATCAAATATTTTGTCAAAGGTCAAAAAAAAGCTTTATAATGAGATATAATAATATACAGAGGAAAAATATCTATAAAAGTTAAGTTAAAAGTTTATAATTGTTTCTCAAAAAACAAATTAATAATTTAATAATAAATAGTTTATCAATGATTACATTATTGTCTAAATATTACATTTTAAAGTATTATTAATGATAATTAAATTAATGTTTAATAATTAAATTTCTCATTTGTATCTGCAAAAACAAAACCTCCATTATCTTGTGTTTGTATTTTCTTCTACCACTGAGTATCTGGATAGAAAGTTGTCGTGTCATATTATTTATCTCCTCAATGGCTAAATCCTCTGTGGTGATTTTGAATCATCATGGAACCTTTATCTCCTTAGCAGTCAAGGACAACCTAATTCCATCTTTTTTTTTTTTTTTTGGCAACTTTAAATCCAGCTACCAGCTTCTCAACCTATATCAACCTATTGTATGTGTGAAAAAATGCTTCAGGTATGGTTTGTATGCCTAGGAAACCATGTGACAATCTGCTTACCTTCTCTATTCCCTCAGAGTGTTCCTATACTATATCACACTACCTAGAGCAGGGGTAGGCAACCTTGGCTCTTTTATGACTCGTGGACTTCAACTCCCAGAATTCCTGAGCCAGCATGGCTCAGCTTGGAAACCTCTCCCTTTCCCCCCAACATGGCTGGCTCAGGAATTCTGGGAGTTGAAGTCCACGAGTCATAAAAGAGCCAAGGTTGCCTACCCCTAACCTAGAGTGACAACTTTTTTTGTGCTACAGAAACAGATTTAAAGGATAAAGGTTAATTTCAGTTTTCTATTTCAGTAGTATGTAGAGCCTGTCATTATGAGTTTTTCAGGCTCCTTTGGTATGCTGACCCTTGTTAAATTTAAGCACAGCTATCTCATTTGTGCTAGCAGATCCTAAATACAATGTAATTCTGAATGCAAACTTATATTGTACTGTCCTTGCCCTACAAGTCTTAAAGTTGCCAAGGTTGGACATCCCTGCATTAAAGAGCCCATAACACTGTGTAACCATTTCTGGCTTCTCTCTCTCCAACTGCTTAACTCAAATTAGTGTTTTCCTGAACCAATGTGCAAGTCCAAGTAAATGGGCAGTTGACAGGTACAGTGACAGGTACACACCAAATCTAATGCATTCTTGCCCATTTTAGATGCTGAACTGCACACCAACATCTTTCAATTTATTTTGTGGTTGCTTTGAATATATCCTGAATATATGTTGAGGAAGGCTGGACTGAAAGAAAATGAATGTGATTTTAAAACTGGAGGGAGAAGAATTAGTAACCTGAGCTAGCTACGCTGACACTGCCCCACAGCTGAAAATGCACATGATATGAAAACTCTAATAATGAAGGCTAAGGTTTATTTTGTGATATTGCTTGAAGAGGTTGATTTTTTTTCTAATAGTTGTATTAAGACTTTTAGATACAATAATAAAAGATGATACAAACTAAAAATGAATTTTATAAAAAGAGTGCAAAAAAGTAAATTTCCTTCAATAGGAAATTCTTATCCTGATCATGACAAATATAATCAATTTTATAATCTCTTCACCTAACTTTAATGAATAAAAATGTTTACCAAAGCTCAGAATCTTGCAAGATGAATATCTTCAATATTTCATGCATTTTCTAGCCAAATTATTCATTAATTGCCAAAACTATATATTTGACAATCCATTTAATACAGCGGCATTAAAATCTGCTGATGGACAAGCCTGATTGTGTTTCATTTCATGGAATCTGCTACAGGAGAAGTCTAGATTTGCTTTCAGTCTTGTAGCAAAAGCTTCTGTATAAACATCCATCTGTATTTTTTTTCCTGCTTTCTTTTGTTTATAATTTAGTAACTTCTGAGATACAGAGTCTGGGGATACTTTCAAGTCTACCATTTATTTTCAATACACAGTACATTTTTTTAACGAGTAATGTTTGAAATTGCCTTGTAATTTCCAGTACAAGAAGAGCAATGAAACCACTGTTCCATTCCCTTTGGGAAATCATCAAATTCTTTTTCTTTTCTATTTACACAGTATATACATTTTTGTTTCCTTCTTAATTTTTAAAGCCTCATTCAATTTTTTTCTTTATATATGATAACAAATTATTATTATTCAAAGTATCATTCAAGTTGTTCTCAAGTAGATGTTGTTGAATAACTTTTTCTGTAACATCTTCCTCTGGGAATACAAGATATCTGACATAATTGATTCAAAATCCCAATGCAATTCCCAGTATGGTTCCTCAAAGATATCTCTAGGCACTCTTATAAGTTACTTGTCTTATTATATTTTCAATATAAAAGACAATTTTTCTTTCCAACAAATATATTTATTCTTTAAAAATATTTTCAAAGTCCTAATACACACAATCAAATACTCCAAAATTTTCTGAGCTCTTAGTAGCCAAAACCTTATGTTGCTTGTTGTTGCTAATTATAAATTCTTAAATAATATAAAAATAGAATTTAATTTACTTATACTAAGGATTGAAGGCACACACCTGATATTTGCAATCATGTCAGTCTCAAGGTATCTAACTTCTTTGAGACAGTTAATAGGTAATTTCTGAAAGTGGTCAGTTAAGAAAATATGAAGTAGCATTCTTTGTGGATGGAGTAATTATGGTGAGCTCCTAGGTCTCCCCCTTCGTGAGACATCAATGTATTGAAATTTCCTTGCAAGAAGCAAACATAAGATAACAAGCAGGTGATATAATAATAATAATAATAATAATAATAATAATAATAATAATAATAATAATAATAATACTGGATAGTGGACGTGGCAGTGCCTGGAGACAGCAGAATAGACAAGAAAGAACTGGAGAAGATAACAAAATACAAAGACCTACAAATAGAAATAGAAAGACTGTGGCAAAAGCAAGCAAGGGTAGTACCAATAGTAATAGGCTCCTTGGGTGCAATCCCAAAACAACTGGAGCACCACTTGAACACCATTGGCATTGACAAATTCGCTATTAGTCAATTGCAAAAGGCGGCCTTACTAGGAACTGCTTCCATTCTGCGACGATATCTGTAATACCATCAAACATCCACATCCGCCTATCCCAGGTCCTGGGTAAGGACTCGATAGGTAGACAAAATGCCAAATCCAGTCTGAACATCTGGCTGACTGTGCGATGATCCATAATAATAATAATGATAATAATGATGATGATGATGATAATAATAATAATAGTAATAGTAATAATAGTAATGGAAGGGACCTTGGAGGTCATCGAGTCCAACCCCCTGCTCAGGCAGGAAGCCTTACACCATTTCGGACAAATGGCTGTCCAGTCTATTCTTAAAAACTTCCAGTGTTGGAGCATTCACCGCTTCTGGAGGCAGGTTGTTCCACTGGTTAATTTTTCTAACTGTCAGGAAGTTTCTCCTTAGTTCTAGATTGCTTCTCTCCTTGATTAGTTTCCATCCATTGCTTCTTGTCCTGCCCTCCGGCGCTTTGGAGAATAGCTTGACTCCCTCTTCTTTGGGGCAGCCCCTGAGATATTGAAACACTGCTATCATGTCCCCCCTCGTCCTTCTCTTCGTTAAACTAGACATAGCCAGTTCCATCAACCGTTCCTCATATGTTTTAGCCTCCAGTCCCCTAATCATCTTTGTTTCTCTTTTAAATCCTTTCTTTGTCCAGAAAGAGTCATAGAAGCCCATCTACTCGTTAACTCCTTATTCATAGCCACAAACATTGACTCCACTTTTCTGAGAGCTTCCTTCGGTCATCCATCTTCCTAGGAAGTCTGAACACATTCTGTCATTGTTTAAACCAGTGGTTCTCAACCTTCCTAATGCTGCGACCCTTTAATACAGTTCCTCATGTTGTGGTGACCCCCAACCATAAAATTATTTTTGTTGCTAATTCATAACTGTAATTTTGCTACTGTTATGAAGTGTAATGTAAATATTTGATATGCAGGGTGTATTTTCATTGTTACAAATTGAACATAATTAAAGCATAGTGATTAATCACAAAAACAATATAGCAATGCTCAATGGGGAAGCTTACTCTTCCTTGCTCAAAAATGTTGGGAGGGAGGGAAGGAGAAGGAAGGAAGGAAGGAAGGAAGGAAGGAAGGAAGGAAGGAAGGAAGGAAGGAAGGAAGGAAGGAAGATTGAAGGGGAAAGGAAGGAAGGAAGGAGAGAGAGATGGAAGGGGAAGGGATGGAGATGGAAGGAAGGAAGGAAGGAAGATTGAAGGGGAAAGGAAGGAAGGAAGGAAGGAAGGAGAGATTGAAGGGGAAGAGATGGAGATGGAAGGAAGGACGATTGAAGGGGAAAGGAGATGGAGAAGGAAAGAAGATGAAGGGGAAAGGAAGGAGATGGAGAAGGAAGGAGATTGAAGGGGGAAGGAAGGAAGGAAGGGGAGAGAGATTGAACGGGGGAGGCGCTGCCAAGGACGCACAAGCAGCTCTGCACAATTGTCCAGGAAGGGGGGGAGGCTCTGGTGGAGAGCCTGGTGGAGAGCCAAACGGCGGCACATCCAGGGCCTCAGAAGCTGCGTGGAGGAAGGAAGGAAGGAAGGAAGGAAGGAAGGAAGGAAGGAAGGAAGGAAGGAAGGAAGGAAGGAAGGAAAGAAGGAAGGAGAGGGAGATTGAAGGGGAAGGGATGGAGTTGGAAATGGAAGGAAGGAAGATTGAAGGGGAAAGGAAGGAGATTGAAAGGGGGAGGCACTGCCAAGGACGCACAAGCACCTCCACACAATTGCCTGGGGAAGGGGGGAGGCTTTGGCAGAGAGCCTGGTGGAGAGTCAAGCGGTGGCACATCTGGGGCCTCGGAAGCTGCACGGAGAATCTGTATGCCTTGGAGCTGCTGGCTGCCCTCTCACACACACCAACCTGGAGCCCCCCATCCTCATCCCAGCACCTCTTGCCCTCTCCCAGCCTGGGACCTAACCGCTCGTCCAGCCTCCTGAGTGCCATCGCAACGGCAGGGTCATGGGAGCCCCTTTCCATGCCACGCAGCCCATGACATGCGAGAGGGGCACAGCCAGAGTGCCAGCTCCTGCTCGGAAGGCACTGCTTCTCCCCTCCTGGCCCGGCTGGCTGGCCTCTGATGCACAACGGGCATCGCCACTGCCTCACCCTCTTCCCCACCCCTTGGCCACTTCTGAGGCCCAGAGCCCGGCAAGCCAGGAAGGAGCTGCACCTGCCCGGCAGCCCCACGGCCGCGCCAGGTGCCAGAGGGCCAAGGCGGCCTTCGAAGGTGAAGGAGGCTGGCCAGGTGGCAGGGGGGAGGCTCCCACGCAGTGTGGAGGACAGCCGAGGGTGGAGCGCAGCTGGGCAAGCAGAAGGTGTGGAGACCAGCTCGGTGTTGCAGCTCAGCTCAGCCAGCATCAGCGGCAGCGGCGGAGCAGCCCAGCATCAGTGCCAGCAGCGGCCCAGACCCAGCTCGGCTGCTGAGCCAGCCCAGGGCGGCGTCAGGGGCGCATGTGATGGCTCTGTGGTGACAGGAGCAGGCGCTGTCAGAGGAGAAGGGCGGAGGAGTAGGAGGAGGGCAGCAGTGGAGGAGGGCAGCGCAGCGGCGGCCAGATAGAGGAGCGGTGTCTCGGTTTCTAAAGACCATTGGAAATATGTGTTTTCCGATGGTCTTAGGTGACCCCTGTGAAAGCGTCATTCGACCCCCAAAAGGGTCGTGACCCACAGGTTGAGAACCGCTGGTTTGAACACTGATACTTTTTTCTATACAGTTTGGTTTTATTAATGTCCGAGAAAGTCATGGTTAAAAATGGGACTAAAATCACAAATATATCATTTTACTTATCTCACATCCATTCTAGACAATTTTTACATAATTTCTACAGGAATCTTGGGGCAGCTATTCTGCTTTCTCATCTGTAATGAACAGAAATGGTTTCTTATATAGTTATCCTATTTGGTTAAAAAAATTGGGGGGGGATAATATACTTCTTTCTTTATAATTCAGTTTGACCATCATAACTTTAAAAAGAGTATATCTAAAAAGAGATATAATCAAATCAAGGGTAATATAGTAACTAGAAGAAATACTAATGCAATAAACTTTCACAAGCCAAAAATATTTTTAAAAGCTGATTATAAATAGCTTTTCAGTTCATTTATGTTTATAAAGGCTTCATTTTTATGTATATGTGTATATATACTAGATAAGATAAGATAATCTTTTTTTATTATTATAATTTTTACAATTTTACAATAAAAACCCCTTTCCCAATCCCTCCCAACCCTCCCCAAAACAATCCCCCGTTCTTCCCAGAGCTAGATACAGAGTTAACTAAAACTTAGTAGAAAAAGCTTATAAACTCAAAAAACCACAAACAAATATGATTATATTCAATGGACAAATTGTTAAATACATTAACTCCATTATATATAAAAAAAACAGAAAGAGAAAAAGAAGAAAAGAAAGAAAATAAAAAAAAAATAATAAAAGGAAAAAAAGGGAGAAAAACTAAACTATTCTACACTTTTAAATAATATCTTAAACTTTAAATATAAATTATTAATAACAGAATAATTAGAGAAGCCATCGAGACAGAAAAACACCCACACAGCATGAACAGATGAAATGATACCTCCTGCCTACCAGCCATTTGGAAACCCGCCCTTATTGACAAACAACTCCTTAACACAAAAAATGACACCAGACCCACACTCACAAAAACCACACAGGATGTCACCACCACACATCCACGCAAAAACCCAAAGCCACACCGATGATGAGGCATGACCACAAACCAGAAGTCAGACCACAGCTGCATCATTAGCCACTTTAAATCCCTCCAATCCATACATGAAGCAAACTGACACCCACCATGAAGATGAGGCACGACCACGAACGCGAAGCCCCAAAAATAGCAATGCAGCTCACCATTTTAAACCCCCCGGCAACTCAGACTAACCTGAGCACAACAAAGCCCCCACCCAAACAGAACACTCCCCCAGCCAATCAGAGCACAGCCAACTCCCCAGCCAATCAGAGCACAGCCAACCCCCCAGCCAATCAGAGCACAGCCAAGCTCCTAACCAATCAGAACACACCTCCATCCAATCAGAACACAGCCAAGCTCTCATCCAATCAGTTCATACCCCCACTGGCAGTTAAAAGGAGGAAACAGCTACAACCACACATTGCTCCTAGAAGCACGAAGCCGAAAGCACCAGCCTGAAGATGACCAATGAGACTTTGTCAAAACGTCGCCAAGACATTTACATATACACACATATACATACATATACTCCATATATATATTCAAAAACTAAAACACAGATCACTGAGACTAAAAATTTATTTAAAAACTTAGCTTTCATCAGCATCTGCTGACATCGTCAGAGTTCTAGCCAGGATTGAGAATCACGTTCTTATAGTCTTTGTGACACCAAGCATTTGTCTAACGACCGTGTTACCTGTCTATTGAGCTCCCTCCCCCCGTAGTTAATTGCTGTGTTGTTTCCATTGCACCCGTTGACAGCTGTTTAAATTTAGGCACCTTGTTCCTCTCCTCACGCCCCGCCCATGTGGAGTGTGTATTCTGCCGTGAGCAGTCATCTCGCTGCTTTTCTGGTGTTTGCATATGCGATGCTGCCATTTCAGCTGGCTGTTCCTTATCGCTATCATCGTCCCTGTCCATGTTGGCTCCAAGTCCCCTGCTGCCACACATCGGCGATGTCTGTCTCTCCTCAATCATCTGCTGTAACCCTGAAGGTTACAGAGGAAGGCATACGATCCTCTGTTAACCTGTTTGTATCAGTGAGGATCTGTGGCTGTTTCATCTTTGCAGTTTTCTTATTTAAAGATGTCTG